CCCGCGGGGAGCTATACGACGAGCCCTCCGACGAAGGGGGTGCCTCGCGCGGCGCAGGCTCGTGGCTTCCGCAACTGCGGTCTCCCTCAGGCGCCGCGACTGCGGGCTGCGCGGCAGCCCCTGTCACGCCAAACTTCTCTCGCAGTTGCCGCTTCAGCTCGGCGAACCGCTGGTCGAGCTCGGCTATCGGCGCGGCGTCCATGGGCGCGGCCGCGCGCGGCCCCCGTCCGATGGGGGAACTGCGGCCGGCTTGGGCGAGGAAGGACAACGAGGGAGACGGCGGGGGCGAGGACGAGGAGGGCGAAGAGGAGGATGGAGAGGACGAGAAGGAAGAGGATGCCGCGAAGAGCTCAGACGAGGATGAAAGGAGGAAGGGGACTGCGACGAGGGTGACGGGGCAGAAACGGAGGAGGAGGAATCGAGAAAGTCCGCAACTGCGGCCGTCGGAGGGGACTGCGACGAGGACGACGGGAAATGACTCGGCCAACGGAGGCGGGCTAATTACGGCCAACGGAACAAAGGGCTAATGACGGAGGCGGGCTACGCCTACTGCGACGAGGAGGAAAGGCGGAGGGAGGGGACTGCGACGAGGACGACGGGGAAGGGGCGACGAGGACGACGAACAACCGCGGATCCATCTTTTTGCCTGTCTCCGCAACTGCAGCCGCGCTAACGTCACGAGTGCTTCAACGGAGGTGATGCGCGCCCGAAGCACCTAATTACAGCGGTCAGTCGTGGGAGCGCAGCAACTGCTGCCAAGCTATATGAAGTCGCTAGAAGGCAGCGCCGCAACTGCGGCCGAAAGCGCGCATAGTGAGTCAAACGAGCGCGGCGCCACGCGATCGGCCCCCGCAACTGCGGTTCCACGGCTGCGCCCACTGCGGTTGAATTCCGCAACTGCGGTGCCAAGGCTGCGCGGGCCACCGCGGTTGCAGGAGCGACCCCTTGTTCGCATCGAACCGCCCAGGATTCGCATGGGCGTGCAGCATCTTCCAGAACTTGAACGTTCCGTGGCCATCGCTCTTGCCAAGACCTGCCGTCGGGCCGCGCACGGGGTGCCAGTGCGGCTCCACCTCATACGCGTTGAACTTCGGGCTAGACCAGGATGGGTGGACGCGAATGCCCGAGCCGTCGTCGCGGATGAGGACGAAATCCCACTGGGGCAGAGATTGTTTGCGCCTGTCCTCTGTCCACCCGATTCGCGTGCCTCATGTCGTCGAGACTGTTAGGGCACGGGCTGCACTCGCAGCGGACCAACCCGCGACTGCGGTCATTGTCAGGGCCGCACACGACGCGCAGCATTGTAGGTCCATCCATCTGCGCGACCATCTCCAGCCAAGACCACGGCACTTTGACAGTGTGGTCCCAGTCCCAATCCCTGTTGTCCTGCGCCTTCCCCTTTGCGCGGTACTTAAGGATCTTCGAAATTTCCTCCGCAACTGCGGTGCCTCCGAAGACGGGCGCGCGGCTGCCGAAAAGGTTTTCTCGGTCTTCGAACTCGTCTCGGAAAAACTTCAAGGCCGCGTTGTGCTGCTTATAATTCCCAGACCAGTCCGCCCTGAAGTTATCGAAGAAGGCCAACCTGAAAATAAGCCCTGGCTCCTGGCCCACAGTTTGAGAAAGCGCAACTGCGCCTTGCCCTTCGCGCTCTGGGCGAAGTAGGGGACGGCCCCCTCTGCCCGCCGCTGTTGCGGCCGCGGGCCCCGCGGCAGGAGAACCATCCCAAGCACTCGAGCGGCCCCTTTCCCATGCATTCCAGCAGCCACCCTCGTCGCCCCACCAGCGGGCGCCCTCCATTCCCGGGCCCTCCCATCCGTTGCCGCCCCATCCGCCGCCGCGCTCCCATCCGCCGCCCCCCCATCCGCGACCGCGGTCACTTCCGTCGCCGCCCTCCCACGCTTTTCCCCCCCCATCCGCCAAGAGAAGCTCCGCCGCCCCAGCCGCCACTGCGGTCACCTCCGCCACCGTATCCGCCACTGCGGCCGCCCCAATCCTCACTTGTTCCCCAACCGCCACCGCTGCTCTGTGAAGAATCCGCAACTGCGGCCCGTGTTTCCTCTTCCGTTTTGTCATCCCACCCTGCGCGCATCTCTGCCCCGACTGCAGGCCGCGGAGGCGGGCGCGAGCCCGCCCAACCGCCGTGGAACCTGCCGTCGGCGCGGGCTTGAGCCGAACATGCATGGAGGAGGATGAGGAGGAGGAGGAGGGTGGAGGTGAGGAGGATGATGCGTTCCTGGGAGGTGTGTCTTCGCGTGCCAAACAAGAGCCCTGAGAAATCCTGAGGCCCCTTCAAGAGCCAAGGACGCGGATGACAAGAAAGTCGAGCAGATTGGGAACTGATTGAGGATTAAGAAGCGCGCGAAGGAGGACGAAAGGGATGATGACGACGAAGAGGAGGATCAGTGAAGGGGAGGAGTGGACAGGAATTGCAGAGGAGTGATAGCAGAGGAGGAAGAGGGGGAAGGGGGAGGAGGAGGCGGAGGAGGAGGAGGAGGAGGGAGAGGAAAAGGGTGAGGAGGAGGAGGAGGAAGAAGGGGAGGAGGAGGAGGAGGAGGAGGAGGAGGACGAGGAGGGGGAGAAGGAGGAGAGGGAGAAGGGGGAGGGGGATAATTAAGAGGACGAGGACGGAGAAATAGGACAAATGAGGAGGAGGAGGCAGAGGAGGAGGAGGACGAGGAGGAGAAACAGGAAGAGGAGGAGGAGAGGGGGGAGGAAGAGTGCGCATGAGACGGAGAGAACGAGGTAGAGAGGGAACGGGGGAGGAGGGAGGACAAGGGAGAGGATACAGCGACGAGAAGAGGAGAAGGAACAGGCGAAGGCTCCTGCTGTTCGCATTTCCGCATCGTTCAAAGCAGTGCCGGGGCACTGCTTTAAACGACTGGCGTTGTTCAAAGCAGTTCCCCGGCACTGTGGTCGTCGACGCCATTATAAAGGCTTTCGGACTAGGCCATCGCGACATCCAACGGAATCTGCACGAAATCCGTCGCATCCGAAGACGCCTTCTCTGGCGCCACGGGCGCGGGGTCGATCGGTTTCACCCCAGCGCGCGCGCATGCCACCATGAGAACCTGGCGCAACGCGATATAAGTTTTCAAATCCTTCGCGAGATCCGGATTCCTTCTCATCGCACGCGAATTCGACGCCCCCAATGCGCTGCCGCTTCCTGGCAGCCCTCGCGGCATCCAGCAACGTGCGGACCTTCCAGGAATTGATCATGGTCATCTGGCGCCTGCCCAGCTCCCTGCTGATCTTACTGACCAGCGCTTCGGACGGCCCACACTCCGCTGGGTACGCCATTTGATACCGAGCGAAGAACTGCTCGCTCAATTCAGCGAGCTGCGGCGACGGCAATGGGACGTCGTCGATGTCGTCCAAACCGCGCCTCGTCCGGGTCTCGGACTCCCGGGCGGCATCGCACAAGGCTTCCCACGCCTGCCGCACTACGCGCTCGAACTGCGGCGCGGGCTGGGCAGGGCCCCCCCCCCCCCCGCGCAGGCGAAGGCCGCGCCTGGCGCACACGGGACAGCTGTCCCAGCCTCCTCTCGAGATCCGGTACGCGCTCGAGGATCGGCGCCCACTCGTTCTCGCTTGTGACGGCATGCGCGAAATTGACCAGCGTCTCTGGACCCACGGTTTCGACGAGGTGGGTGGCGATGCGCTCGTCAAACTGATACTTCGCGGCCAGCTCTCTGAATTGCGCATCGGCGTCGCGGGCGCCGACGCGACCCGCCAGCGCAATGCCGCCAACTGACAAAGGCATACCGAGAACCGCAGGCGCACGCGCGTGTCGCTCCACTAAACCTACTCTCTGACCCGCGTCCGAGCCCACCTCGGGGCGCGCATACGCATCCGTTATGCTGGCACTCGCTGGCAGGCCCACGCGCAACTCCGCGCGTCTCCGCCGCGATGACGTCACCACCTCACGCCGGGGCTGCCCGGCCGCGCAACTACTCACACGCCGCGCACACCAGGGCCCCCTCCAGGAGCGCGGGGAACCACGGCAGATCACTCACTCCATTCTGACATAGGTTCGTCACTGGCCCGAACTCACTGTCCGTCCAAGCTCTGGACTTTTTCAGGCGACGAACGACGGGCATCGCGACGTGATATCGAGGCCCCATAACCTCCCTCACCCGGGTAGCCCGCCCTGGCTCGGACTGCACGTACCCGATCGCGCCCCGCGGCTCGGGCGACGGGCCCGCGACTCGCGACGCGCGCGCGAGCCCAAAGTCAACGCATGTTCGCTGGCGCTAGCAAAATAATAACACTGGTGCGTGATATCACAGCCATGCTGCCTACACACGTGTGCCGGTTGCATTATGCCCTTAGGGTTCGAGAATGATGGTGGCGGCGGACCAGGTAACACCAGTCTGAGCCTCAACCCAGCGAGAATGGAAAACGCAGTGTGCGCTGGTGATGGCAAAGTAGTAGCACTGGCGCGCGATATCACAGCCACGACGCCTCTCTATGCGTGTCGACTGCTCTATGCCATCAGGGTCTGGGGGCCGCAGGTGGCGGTGCCCGCCCATTCAGGTTCTGCGCCGAGCCGAGCGTGTCGCGGCTCTGAGGGCCCTCGGTCGACTCGATCGCTCGGCGGGGCCCTCGATCGAGCCGCTCGCGCGTTGGTGAAACGCAACTCGCCAAGTGAAGACGCGAACGGGAGCCCTGGGTAATTGTTGGGGAACGTCGGGTAAGTGTCCCGAGAGCGAGCACATGCGCGGAATCCTCGGGCCCCAGATGCCCCACTGGGCCCCATAGCTCGGCGCTCTGGCCTCCTGGTCTGTGCAGCACTACTTGGATGTTGGTATGGACCCCACTCAATAGCTGCCCTGAGCCGAGCGTGTCGCGGCTCTGTGGGCACACGATCGAGTCGCTCGCACGGCGGCATATCCCCCCCTGCCTGTCCCTCCTCGCGCAATGACCTGGGATCAAGCGACTCAAAGGTATACAACCTGCTCCACGAAGCACTACTCGGGCCTTCGCTCCAACCCGCACCTGAGATGTTCTCCGTCATGCAACAGCTTGCTTCGCTCCAAAGCGATGAGTCCAAGTCAGTCACTGACATCAGGACAAACCTGAACATTGACTTTGCCGAGAATGACCGCCTCGCGCAAGAGCGCATGGCGTCGCCGACGGGGCCCGCGTCGGCCTCCTCAGGGCAGCCGACAGGCGCTCAGTCACCGATCGCGCACGAGGCAGCCGCCCCTGTGGCCGAGGTGGCAGCCCCTGCGGCAGAGGCAGCCACCGCCCCTGCCGCCGAGGACCCGCCCCCCAACATGGAGCCCCACCCGCCCCTGGATCTCTTGCTCAGAAGCGGCACCCCGCTGACCACGTGCCAGTGGGCTGGCCGTGGGAAGGCGTTCCCCAACTTCAGACGGCTTGTGAACCACATCAAGAAGGCCCACTTCGTCACCGATGACCGGATCAAGGACCAATGGGTACACGAGGAGGCCTGGCGCGAGCGCACCCCAACGACCATCACCGAGGTTGAGCTGGACCACGCCGCCCTGGTGTGGACTGCAGGCGGGGAGGTGGACGAGGCCTGGCTCACGCGCCAAAAGTGCAGCGCGCAAGTACAGAAGAGCCAGGTCGCGGCGCACATGTGCGGGGGGCATTAGCTGGAGGCCGACGACGCGAAGGCGTGGAATGCGAACTGGGACGCCACGCTGCGGGCGCACACCAGCAAGAGGGCCAACAAGGCCAGGCTTCTCGGCTTGAAGGAGCATACTGTTGGACAAAAGGCGCACTGCAGAGCGCGCCTGCAGCTCACCCGCGCCATCCTCGACGTGGACTTCGGCCAGGAGGCGCCGCGCGGGGGTCGGGGAGGCGACTGCGCGGGAGAGCACGGCGGGGGCGGCGGCGCGGGAGCGCACGGCGGGGGCGACGCCGCGCGGGCGGATTGCTCGCCATCGAGGACGTCGCACAGCCCGAGGAGCGCGCCCAGGCCAGAGCTATCTTCACGCACCCCAAGCCCAAGAACGCGCCCAAGCCAGCGGCGCCGCCCGCCGCGGAGGACCCAGTCGCAATGGAAGACAGTTTGGCGATGCGGCAGATCAAGTCGGCTGGGCCCTACGGCGACACTGGCGATCAAGACATCTACATTGTCCCGCGGCAACGCGGCACCACCGCCGTCGGGCTCGACGCGGTGTCCGTCGCGGCCATGGGCAACCTGGCAGCGGCGATGAGGGAGCGCCCAGGAAGCAGAGTCGCCGCGGCACACACGGATGCCACTGGGGCCACGCCTCCCTCTCCACTGGCGAAGGTCACGCCCAGCCCAGACGCCGCAAAGTGGGAGCCCACGCGGGACGATGCCTATCGCCACGCGTGGCCGCTGCCCCAAAAGCCGCTCGAGCTGCCCCACTGCGACGCCTACATCAAGGACACCAGAGGCTTCGAGCTCGTGACGGCCGACGCCCACGTGCAACGGATGCAGCAGTTGCTCTCGATCTTCAGCTTCCCGCTGGAAGCGGGCCCGTTCGGGGCCCCCGCGGCCGTCTTCAAGAGCAACCTGGGGCAGGGCGCTGTCAAGCAGCGAAAAGTGCACCCAGAGCGCCCATGCACGAACGGACGTTGACCTCCCTCGGCCACTACGCCCAGATTGCCACGACCACATGCAAGCAGAAGGGCTGGAGCATCTTGCGGAAGGATATCGGGAACCTCTGGAAATCCCACTTCGCCCCCCTGAAGGCCCGCCCCCAGAGAGACAGCGAGGCCAGCGGCGCTCGCAAGCACGACTTCGGCGAGGGTCGCACGGAGATGTTCCTAACCGCGGAGGTGGGCCAGGCGGCGGCGTCGTCTTCCATGATCGACCTGCACACCATCTGGCAGCAGGCCAAGGAAGGCGGCGGGCTCGCCCCAATCGCGGCCCAGCGCGCCGCGAACATCATCACGATGGGCATCACACACTGCAACAGCTTCGGTGGGCGACCAGGCGAATTGGAGAAGCTGAAGCGCAAGCAGGTCGAGGATTTCATCGGACGCGAAGAACGCATGGCACGGTCGGTTGCCACGTGCCCCCAGACGACGTCGCCGCCATGAAGATTGTCTCGGATACCCACCCTGCCGAGAGCGCGCGGCTCGAACGCCGTCACTGCTGGCCGACCAGCTGCTGCGGAGGCACGGGTGGGTGCATCTGACGGGGCACGCGCGCCCTGGCCCCAACCCACGTCGAAAGTTCCTCGCCGCGGAGGCCGGCGACGAAGACAACCTCGAGAAGGCCCAGGCGCTGGTCGCCGAGGTGAGCGCCCACCGCCATCCGACGGCCAAGCGCCACCACAAAGTGCAAAGGCCTGGGAAGCTCGCCACGAAGAGCGCGGCGACGTTCAAGGGTCACAGGGGGGACCCCCTTCCCTGACCGCCGGACGGCGAGATCAACGCCAAGAAGGAAGAGAGTTCGGCGAGGGCGGCGAAGGCATTCGGAGGCAGGGCCGCGCAGAACTTCCCCGGGGAGGATTAGAGCGACGAGGACGACGACAGCGGCGGCGACGAGGGCGATGTGGAGTGCGGCGGAGGCGAGGAAGGTGGCAACCACTGCACAGAGCGCTGGGGGAAGCGCACGACGGATCAGAAGCCCAAGATGGAGAAGAAGCACAAGAAAGAAAAGAAAAAAAAGAAAGTGGGACGGGCCGATCAAGAGAACAAACACAAGAATCGCAAGAAGGATATGAAGCATCAGAAGGAGAAGAAAAAGAAAAGGGGTGACGCCGATACAAATAAGAAGCACAAGTCGGGGCCCCCTTGACCGGGGGTCGGCAGACCGGGGGCTGGGGCCTTGCATTTTGCAACTGTTTCGGGCGCGCAAGCCCTGACTCCCAAGGGCCCTGTCATGCGCCCCGCCCAGATGTTCAACATGATTTCCACACCGTACCAAATACCCCACAGGAGCGGCTAGTGGCCGGACGAACCCACACTTACAAGAAACAACAACTGCAATGCAGAAACAAAAAATCTGCATTGCAGATGTTCAGATGTCCCGCAAAAGTGCTGCAGAACCAAAAAAAAAACTGCAAAACATCCTGCGATGCAGAAAATCTGCATCGGAAAGGTCCTGCGGCGGCAACGCGGCTTGCCTGGCCCTGGCGTGGCTCGCTGCACGCGGCTTGCGAGAAGCTCGCTTCCTTCGTAACGCAACCGAAAAAGCTGCCGTGGCAGGCCGGCTCCGTTCTGGAGGCCTTATTAAAGGGCATGAGGAGAATTTGCACCCCGGGTCTGCCAGCCCCAGGTCTGCGTTCCCACGAACAAGAAACACATGGGAGATACAGACGGGATGATGGGCAAGGGAAAGAGGCACAAGGGGGATACCCAGGACTTGGATGAGAGCCAGCACGGATCACACCTGTCCGGCAGCGCAGATGGCTCGACCGACGAGGAGGGCCTCTTCGAGCAGGGGATCCCCTCCAGCGCGGTATAGGGTTAAGGGTTTAGGGTTCAGGGTCCACTATCCCAAACTCGCAGCCTGTTGGACGTGCCCCACCCACCCATGACCCAACACATATTGATCTCAAAACGACGACGACGACGACGACGACGTTATCTCCACACCGCGTCGCTGGCGCTGGGCCGAGCCCTCCACCGCGTCACGGCGGAATCGTAGCGATGCGTTGAGACCCGGCTTGCGCCGCTCACCACCGCCGCCCACCGCGGCGCCCCCAGAAAAGCGTCGACGAGGCGCAGCCGCGCCTTCCGCCCGGAGCTTCTCGGCGAGAGGCTCCCGAGGGAGGGGGGCTTCTGGGCGGCCGCGGTCGCCCTGCCGCGCTGGCTCCGCGGCGCTCGAGCGCGCCGCGGAATGTCAGCGCGACGGGGCGGCCATAGCCGCTCGGAAACCCAAGGGGCCATGTGCAGCCCCCACGAGGCGGCCCCTGGGGAAGGCCACGGGGGCGGCGCTCAACCCGAAGGGTCGAGGTTGCGCCCGCACCTTTCGCAAAGGACTAACGACGCCATGTCTGGTTCCCCGATGCCAGCATCTCCTCCCAGAACGCCATCCCTGGCACCCCGAGGCCAAGAATCTGCGCGAGGGGTGCGCCGAAATGGGTGGCGGCATAAGGGGCGGCATAAGGGGCGCCGAAGGGCGGCCGTGAGAGCTTCAGGATTTCAATAGTTATAAGCTCTTAGTTCTGAGGGCCTGCAGTGGCGCGAGCGCGCGCTGGCTGCGACCCCCCCCCGCATCAATGCCGTCGGGGGGGGTGGCCGCCCAAGCCGCGCGCGCCACGGTTAGTCGCGCTCCCGCCCCAGGCCACACAGAGTGAAGCCTTTCAGGGTTTAGGGTTTCTCCCCCCACGCCCCCTATCACGGGGGGCTTGCGAAGTGGCGCGCACAGGCGGTCGCCGACGCGGCCGTGGCATTGCGCATCCACGCGAGCATGCGCGCAGGGCGCGTGGCGTAGGCGCGTCAGCTCGTCGCCCCGTCGAAGAGGCAGCCGTTGGCGATGTCGGTGTTGAGCTTCGCCGCCGGGCTGCCGCTGGCGCAGCATGTCCATGCGTTGCCGCCTTTGCCATCGGCATTTGGTTGTGACACTGGGCTGCGAATGCTGGGAAGCACGCGCGCGCGGTCGCGGCCGTAGCAATGCGCAACCATGCGAGCACGCGCGCGGGGTACATGGCGCTGGCGCGTCAGCTCGCCTCGTCGAACAGGCAGCCGTTTGCGCCTCCAGCGTCGAGCTTCGCCGTTGGGCTGCCGCTGGCGCAGCAGTTCCACAGGGGTCCAGCACTTGCCTTCGGCATTGGAAAGCAGCACCGCGCTGCCGCTGGCGCGGCAATCCCATGGGCCCCCGCGGGCCTCGAGCGAGCGGCTGCGCCGTAGGGCCCCTCGCTGACGGCGACGCGCACGGCAGTTGCATTCGCCCTCGGCTTTGCGCTTCGCCTTTGGGGTTGCCACCGCTGAAGCGATTGCAATCATCGACGCAGCCGCGCTCGGCGCGAGCCTCGGACGGCTGGAGGGGGAGCGCGAGGGAGCGGGCCTGGAACCCCATCGCCACGATGCGCGGGCATGGCTGCGTCAGCACCTGCATGACAGAGGCCCGGGGAGTGCCTTGGGGGAGCCCTCTGGGAGCGCCGGGGAAGCGCCTGCAGCCTTCCCAAGGAACGCGTCGGGGGCGCTCTGGGGCGCCTGGGGAGCGCGCCCCAACGCCTGGGGGCGCCTGGGAGCGTCTGGGAGCACGTGGGAGCGTCTGGGAGAGTGGCAAGACACGCAGCGTGCACCGCGAATGCGAGCCGTGGATTGGCCGTTGGGCTTGGCCGTTGGCGCCGCCCCCGCTGAAGCGATTACATCTTCGCATGGCTGGAGGGGGAGCACGAGGGGGTGGGTCTGGCACCCCCTCGCTACGACGCGCGGGCAAGGCTGCGGCAGCACCTGCATGGCGGGGAAACGCCTGGAAGCACCAACAATCATACGCCAGCGCCTGGGACCGCTCGCGAACGCTTGGAAGCGCCCGGGAGCGCTTGCGAGCTCCTGGGAGCGCCGCGTGGCGCCTTGGAGCGCTTGTGGGCGCCTGGGAGCGCCTGGGGATGCTTGGACGCTTGGGAGCACTTGGGAGCGCCGGGGAGCGCTTGGGAGCGCTTGGGAATGCGTGGCAGCGCTGGGAACGCAGGGGAACGCAGGGGAGCTCCTGGGAGCGCCTGGGAGCGCGCTGGGGAGCGCTTGGGACACCGAGAACGCTTGGGAGAAGGCCCCAGGACACCGCATGCTGTATTTTCATACGGATTGCCGCAACATGGACGCCCGAAAAAGCGCCGCATGCTGTATGCCCATAAGTTTGGAGACCCAGGGAATGGCACCGATCGCAGCGCAGCCATTGGCTAGCGTCTAGGGCTAACAGTTCTTTACATTAAGCGAACAAGCGGTAGCCGCATACGCGCGGCGGGCGAATGAATGCCTCCTCAGCGCTGCCCGCTTCGTCGGTGCCACGCACGTGGAATTGGCAGGCTCGCCGAGCGCTCGGCCAGACGCCACGGGCTACGGACGTTGCACACCCCGTGGCTTGCAGCTTAGGGTTCACACTACGTAATAGCGTTCGCGGGGTTTGCCGCGGTGTCAATCGGGGTGCGCTTAGCAGGCTCGCTTCGGACCCGCTTCCTTCGTAAAACACGTAGGGTTCGCGTCGCGACGGATTGCGCGGAGCGCTTGTCCGGCCACCTCGGAGCCGCTCCCGCTCGCGCAAAGTCGCACGGCATGCTTGGCGCGCCGCTCCGGAGCCGCTCCTGCTCGTGCCGGCTCGCACGGAATGCTTGGGGCCGCTCTGGAGCCGCTCCCGCTCGCGCCAGCTCGCACGGAATGATTGTCGGGCCCCAGAGCCGCTCCCGCTCGCGCCGGCTCGCACGGAGCGCCTTTCGGGCCGCAACGGAGGCGCGCCCGCTCGCGCTCGCTCTTCAGAATGCTTGTCAGGCCGCCCCGGAGCCGCTCCTGCTCCCGCCCGCTCGCACGGAATGCTTGTCGGGCCCCTCCGGAAGCGCCCCGCACGTGCCGGCTCGCACGGAGCGCTCGCGCAGGCTTGCGCCGGGCTTGCTGCACCGTTCGTCATGGCATCGCTCGCGCTGGCCAACGCGCCACCTGGGCGCTATCTCCGAGCTATCTTTGAAGGACGCCACAGATGGCGCCTTCGGCCCATGCCCCGCGTGGCGCCTGCAGCGTTCGCGGCCCTTGCCGCGGTTTGAATCGGGGTGCGCACGTACTGCTCGCGTCGGATGTGCTTCGGCGCGCCCAACAGGCGCTCCCGCAGGCCTGCGCCGGGCTCGCTGCATCGTTCGTCATGGTGTCGCTCGGGCTGGTTAGTGCGTTGTGCTTTTCGTCTTGAAAGTTTAGGGTTTAGGGTTGAGGGTCTACAAGCTCTGCCGCAGCTGATCACCTCCTGCCTAGGAGCCCACCTGCGGTGGCTCCCAGCCCCACCCGCGAACCACCCTACCATAAAGAACTTTCGGGGACCTAAAGAGCACGTCCTTGTTAAGGAAAGTCTCATAGGTGCCTGAACGCCAGAAAATAGTATTTGTTGCAAGAGATGGCGAGGGCTTACAGCACGCATGATCAGGAAATATTATGTTTTGCAAGAGATGGCGAGGGTTGACAGCACGCATGATCAGGACATCATATTTGTTGCAAGCGATGGCGAGGGCTTACAGCACGCATGATCAGGAGGAAATGATGATGTTTTGCAAGGGATGGCGAGGGTTTACATCCGGGGGTGTCAGGAAATCACATTTTTGCAAGGGATGGCAGGGCGCAGGAAGTTAGATGACATCGGGACGCGTGGAACCTCAGAGGTCACGGTTTAGTAATCATAAGATTAAGAATTTAAGGTCCACTAGCCCAAACTCGCACCCTGTTGGACGTGTCCCACCCACCCATGACCCAAGACAGATTGAT